CAATGCACACAGACTGAAGTAGTTTAAGTCTTTGGTTCTTTTAATTGTGATGATTTTGGCTCACGTTTAACAAAAACCCACCAATTCACTATCTCAACAAATTAGAATATGGTGACATGCCAATCAGCTAATCAACTCAAAACACCTGCAAAGGTTTCCTGAGCCTTCAAAATGGTCTCTCAGTTTGGTTCACTAGGCTACACAATCATGGGGAAGACTGCTGATCTGACAGTTGTCCAGAAGACAATCATTGACACCCTTCACAAGGAGGGTAAGCCACAAACATTCATTGCCAAATAAGCTGGCTGTTCACAGAGTGCTGTATCCAAGCATGTTAACAGAAAGTTGAGTGGAAGGAAAAAGTGTGGAAGAAAAAGATGCACAACCAACTGAGAGAACCGCAGCCTCATGAGGATTGTCAAGCAAAATCGATTCAAGAATTTGAGTGAACTTCACAAGGAATGGACTGAGGCTGGGGTCAAGGCATCAAGAGCCACCACACACAGACGTGTCAAGGAATTTGGCTACAGTTGTCGTATTCCTCTTGTTAAGCCACTCCTGAACCACAGACAACGTCAGAGGCGTCTTACCTGGGCTAAGGAGTAGAAAAACTGGACTGTTGCCCAGTGGTCCAACATCCTCTTTTCAGATGAGAGCAAGTTTTATATTTCATTTGGAAACCAAGGTCCTAGAGTCTGGAGGAAGGGTGGAGAAGCTCATAGCCCAAGTTGCTTGAAGTCCAGTGTTAAGTTTCCACAGTCTGTGATGATTTGGGGTGCAATGTCATCTGCTGGTGTTGGTCCATTGTGTTTTTTGAAAACCAACGTCACTGCACCCTTTTACCGAGAAATTTTGTAGCACTTCATGCTTCCTTCTGCTGACCAGCTTTTTGTAGATGCTGATTTCATTTTCCAGCAGGATTTGGCACCTGCCCACACTGCCAAAAGCACCAAAAGTTGGTTAAATTACCATGGTGTTGGTGTGCTTGACTGGCCAGCAAACTCACCAGACCTGAACTGTCTGTCTGTATTGTCAAGAGGAAAATGAGAAACAAGAGACCAAAAAATGTAGATGAGCTGAAGGCCACTGTCAAAGAAACCTGGGCTTCCATACCACCTCAGCAGTGCCACAAACTGATCACCTCCATGCCACGCCGAATTGAGGCAGTAGTTAAAGCAAAAGGAGCCCCTACCAAGTATTGAGTACATAAATGAACATACTTTCTAGAAGGCCAAAAATTCACTAAAAATGTTTTTTTATTGGTCTTATGAAGTATTCTAATTTGTTGAGAATTGGTGGGTTTTTGTTAAATGTGAGCCAGAATCATCACAATTAAAAGAACCAAAGACTTAAACTACTTCAGTCTGTGTGCATTGAATTTATTTAATACACGAGTTTCACAATTTGAGTTGAATTACTGAAATAAATGAACTTTTCCATGACATTCTAATTTATTGAGATGCACCTGTAGTTGTCTCTTGACTCTACATAAGCTTCTTATTAATAATCATACACAAAACATAATTTAATAAACACACTAATATACTGTATACTAGGATACACTAGACATGAAAAATATAAGATGGGTTTACAAAGAGCTAAGTGCAAACTTTTAATAGAAAATATATTGCAAGTCTCTGTCACAGTTGTATAGTGCACTACAAAAGCACACACCACCAGTTACTCAGTGTCTAGCCTCGTCAAGACCAACATCACTTACCCGTGCTACTCACCTGAGAAGCCTGTGTACTTACCTGATGTCCAGTGTCTTATCTCCAGCGATCTCCTATGACCCTTTTCCAGCAATCTTCAGTGTTTCCTAAGTATCCTTTTGCACTGATCTCCTCGTCTCGTCTTCCTCCCAGTGTGTGCTGCTCTGCCTTTGAAAGACATTGTCAATTATTACCATCTACCATCCTTCGTTTATATTATCACTACCACAACTCACTAACCTGAATTTTTTTTTGAGTTTCTGTCAATAAATACCTTCATTGGGTTCAATACTTCCGTCCCCTCTCGTCTAGTATCCCCAGACAGAAAGCTAGACCATACCTCCATGAACTCTGTAGGCACAGCATCTCCAGATCCATTTTAAGAATTGGTGTACACCAGGGATCTCCAACCCTGCTCCTGGAGAGCTACTGTTCTGCAGACTTCAGATCCAACCCTGCTCCCACATACCTGTCTATAATTATCAGGTAACCCTGAACACCTTGATTAGCTGGTTCAGATGTGTTTGATTGAGGTCGGAGCTGAAATGTCCCAAGGGCAATCCAGGACCCTACTCTGGCTCGGTGCTCGCTTGCCCTCGAGACGCAACTGCATTGTTTTCTCACTGAGTGTAGCCTGGTGTGGATATCATCCTCTGACAACAGCAGGGCAATCCCTCCTCCGTCCATTCGCCGCCTTCTCCAAAAATCTTACCCTGGCAGAACAAAATTATGACAATGGCAACAGAGGTCTTTTGGCAGTCAAACTGGCTCTACACTCTAAAAAATGCTTGGTTAAAAACGGACAAACCCAGCTATTGGGTTGTTTTGACTTGATGATGGGCCCCCTCCAGCCAGGGCCACCACTCTTCTACACTCTAAACAATGCTGGGTTAAAAACTGAAAAAGATGTTTTTAACTCCATTAACTGCACATATATTCCTGTCTCCCAAAGGATCTCCTTCATTGAGTTCACACAGTTCTCCGTGGGTACTGCCCACTGAGGGTCCAATCAAACTCTCTCACTCCTCCAGAATCAGTTCTGGTGGACCCAGATGGCAAGAGACATCAGAAGGTTCATCCAAGGATCTGGTATGAAAGAGCAACTCAAAGATTGCAAAAAAAGTGTTGTTTGAACTCTAACCTACTACACATTGAAATGTTTCCCATAAAAGGCCACAGAATGATGTGGCCTGGAGTCTTTTGTTGGCACTGGAGCTATGGGTAATATCAAAATGGTTAAGAACGAGTTAGTTATAGTGTTTTTGCTTACAAGTTTACTCCTGATCTAGAATTGGAACTTTGTCAGAGTATCTGAAAGAACAAACTTGGTTGTGAGGTTATTTGTCAGAAGATTGGTACTGTATACATCTGATAAAAGTAATGTGGTTAAAAAGAGATGATCTGCACATGAAACATAATCCAAGAAACATCTGTAGATGTAACAAACAAAAACAGGTCACAGGTTCTACTTCAGCTAATTTATTTAAATAATAAATATTTATGTAATTAATCTAATGGTTTGCTGTATGTGGATGTTTGGGTTTTCAAATCTAGTGTAAAATTCCTATGTTTTGTGTAACACTTCATTTGATGCGTTACCAGAATGACTTTGCTGCTAGTTCTTTGCAGTGTTTTAAGTGAAACTGGGGCATTTGGTAGCATGGGCTGGAAAGGTTTCAATAAGTGATGTACAGTACATGTACAATAAGTGAAATGTACAACCTGGAGCTCTGGCCAGAAGGGGCATTTGTCAGACACTATTACGAGCCATGCAGGGTGGGAGTTATTGGGTCTAATACTGCACCTGCTTTTGGGGGAATGAGTGTGCCTCTTGGAAGTGTGAAGACTCATTAGTGGAGTTCTGTGTAGTTTGGGTTTTGTCATAGATCGCACGTGGGCCAGAGTGCAGGGGATGAAGCCCGACACATTATTGTTGATAATCTCTTGGAGAAGTGTGATATGTTCTGTTTGCACGAGACTTTTTTAACAAAGCAATATTATTTGTTGGTAAGTAAGGAAGGAAGTAGGTAAGTAAATACATCTTTAAATTATACTTTTCATGTGGGTTGGTGAGTCCACAACAGATATTAGCATGGGGAATACTTTGTGACCTGCAGTGGTAGGATAAATGAGGGTGTGGTTATCCTGTAGCTTGACTTATTAGTAAATGTGGTTAGAGTTGGTGTCAACTGGTGTATTGAAATACAGTTTACTTAAAATGACAAGGAATTTGTTATGCTAAATGTGCATATACCTTATGAATGCCATCATAATGAGGATGAACATTTAAATAGGCTTGCCATTATTATTATTATTTTATTTATTGAAAGTAATACTACCCCTTGTGTATATGTCATTGAGGACATGAATGCGGACATTTCAGATAGAAATTAACCATTTGATAATCATATTGCTCAGTTTCGTCTATACAATAATCTCATATTGTCAAGTAAAATGCTTTTGCCTGTAGATAGTTGTATTAATACAAGCTGTCTGACAACAAAGGATGTGGTCTAGACCATATCTCTGCTGACCATCATACATATTGTAGTAAGAGAATACCCCCCCTCCCCTTTCATGTCTGTTTAACTGGTTTTATGATTTATGGTTTGTTACCAGACCCAATGCTGTCTGTTTTGTTATTCCCAAATTATTAAGGACAGATCTGGTATGATAGTTAGTACAAATAATTATAGGCCTATAGCTTTTGTCAGTTTTCTGTCAAAAGTATTAGAAATTATTGCTGAATAGGATAAATGAGTTCATTAATTCTGCAGATAACTAGTTTGGTTTTAAAGCTAAACATGACAGCGACCTGTGTACATATGCATTACAGGAAATGGTAACTAATCAGCTCTGTGTATGGCTTGTTATGATCTGTAGCACTAAAGAGAATAAATGTCAAAATAACAACAATCTTATAGAAGAGTCTGATATGAATCTTACTGTGTGTGAAAGTGAAATATCTTGGACATTTTATTACTAAGCACATGACAGAAGATGAGGACACTGAAAGGCAAACTTTTATGATGAAATGGATGTTTTTGTTTTGGTTCTTTTAAGGTTGTTTAGGTTGTTACAAATCAAAGAACTCTAAAGCAGAGGTCTCCATCCATTCTCCTGGAGACCCACTGTCCGGCAGAGTTTAGTTCCAATCCTAGTGGTTCTCCAGGAGCAGGGTTGAAGTATATATTCCTCAAGCCTCAACTGTGCAGTGTTGGGGGTAAAAACTAGGTGATGGTCACCAGTTTTCATTTTAGGTAACCAGATATTTCCTGTGCTCTGAGAATGGAAGTGAGTTTTGCTTTTCTATCAGCTTGGTTCATCTAGCACTCCTCTGCATTTCTACTGAGGTTAGCAGTCATGTCTACCACAGAAACCAGGGTCCAACGTCACATGCGAGCAGAGTTTCCTGCATAGGTACTGGAGTTTCTGAACCGGCATGCATCTAGTCACTTGCTCAAGCACAAGCAAACCAGCTACACAGGTAAGAGTGTTATTCTTTTCTTGGGATCTTAGCATTTGTTCAAAAGCAATTCAACAAGTTGTAGAAATACTTACAGTAGATCAAGCAATTCAACAAGTTGTAGAAATACTTACAGTAGATCAAGTAAGAACCTGTCATAATACAGACCATTTTAAAACCTTTTCCTCACATGCCTCATTAGGAACACCGACAATCACTGTATGTCAAGATTTTGAGGAGCAGTCAGCAAGTGTACACCGATTTTCGACCGTTACAATGATGCAGGAAGACAATTTAACCACCAATGTGTCCTGTCAGATTCATGATGGCATATTGTCACCATTCTTGCCCATTGGCTACATTATCATCTGTTGCATTGGTCTGCTCTGTAACACTGTCACGCTCTACATATTTTTCCTTCGGCGACACACAGACTCTTCCATGACCGTGTACATGCGCCACCTTGCCCTAGCGGACACCCTCCTGGTCATGTGCTTGCCCCTGCGAGTTTACTACCACAACAAAGAAGGTCCCTTCTACTTGTGCAAGGTGGTGGGCATCTTCTTCTACATCAACATGTATTCCAGCATCCTGTTTCTCAGCCTCATCAGTCTGGATCGCTACTTGAAAATCATCAAGCCCGTTTGGGTCCGTCGAATACAAAAGACAAAGTGGAGCCACATGGCAAGCTACATCGTCTGGGTGATCCTCATCTCAGGAGTGATTCCCTTTTTTACAAGCAGCAGTCAAAAACATCCGTGTGACAAGGTTTGCTTCCACTTCCACAGCAAGGGACCTGTCGGTGGGACCATTAACCTGACTACAGTGGTGCTCTTCCTTGTTTTTTATGTAGCCTTTCTTTGTTTTTATGTGAAGATCACTAAGAAACTCAAGACTATGTCCATGGGTAATGGTGACCCTAAGGCACAGAGTCGCAAAAAAAGGGTAATCATAAAGATTTTCTTAGTACCGACCATTTTTACTTTGTGTTTCCTGCCCTACCATGCGATACGAATACCGTACGTTCTGGCTCAGATTAATGTGATCGGAGATCTTCAAAGCCAACAATTGTTGCACATATTAAATGAGAGTACCTTGCAATTGTCCGCTCTAAATAGCTGCCTTGACCCAATTATCTATTACTTCTTATCCAGTGCATACCAGAAAACAATACTGTGTGCCATTCAGGGCAAGTTTAAAAACATGTATGCTTTAAACAGAAGGAGAATCAGCATAAACCGCTCACTCACTGAAATTTAGCATTAATGGATGACTTTTCCATTTGTGACTCGTGATGTCTACATGAATCAATTTTTTTAATTCAACAAATCGAAAATATTTAGTTTTAAATTATGTTTACTGCTGGTCACAGCTTGGGCACAGGTGACTGAATTCATGTTTCATATGATCATAAGAAATAATATCTATATTTACATAAATATAAAGTATATATGTGCGTGTATGTAGTTGTAGCATTTTCTCTAGAGCAGTGGTTCTCAGATTGTTTTTCTTTGATGTACATTTTGTGGTGGTGCCCAGAAACAATATCAAAATGGTTTATCCAAAAATCAAACATGGATATATATCAGTATGAAATTGTACAGGCCTAACAAAATGTATATTAACATAATTTAGGCTAAATAGGAAATTAAGCTTTTGGTTTCTAAATGTGTGTTTTTTTGTTTAAGTGTGTTATAAGTTCTCTGCAGCCACACAGTATTATTTTTTTTAAAAACGATATATCGGATGCACAGCTATTGACTTTAACAACAAGCTATGGGAAGCATTGATTTATATCTGAACTATACAATATTATATTTGCTTTGTAGTTTAACTGTGTTGTGTTATGAGTCAAACCCATCTTTTTGGTGGTAGATTCTGTATAAGTGTTAGCCACATGAAACTTTTTTCTAAATGTGAGAAATGTGGGAAAGTACTAAAAACAAAAAACAAAAAATACAAATATTTATTTAATTTAAACAATTTAAACTTTTTTTAATTTGATTTTGTTGATAACTGAAACCTGAACGAGATTACAAATACAAATAAAATTGTTTATATTTTTGTTAAATGCATAACTGCCTTCATGCTTTACTTCATGCCCTTTATAAACTCTTTATGCACATATTCATACATGCCTGTAATCTGGCTAAACCATTATTGTAACAGAGCATGGAAATAAAATACAAAATACATTTAAATACAATATCTCAATGTACCTCAGTGTATTGATTGTTGCAAAAACTGCAGTTCTCAGCTGATGTCTTAGATAGGTTTAGTGAGCTTGACATGATGCTCAAAACTGCTGTGTGGGGTTGTTGTTGTCGTTTGGTTCTGATCAACGGATTGGAGAGAGCATTGATGAACTGATGTTTTTTTTCTTTCTTTTTTTCTGCACATGTGGGTGACTTGCAGGAACTTGATTGTGACTTTATGAGTTTCAAGTGCAGATCATTTTCCACTTACACTCCATTTTGCATTTAATACATCCTTACACACAGACACACACACATGTTTCCATTTTTATGGTAACATTCCGTAGACGTAATGGTTTTTCTACTGTCCAAACTGTATTTTCTATCCCCTTAACCTAACCCTACACACAACTTTCTGCATTTTTAGATTTTCAAAAGACTTAATTATATGTGATGTATAAGCTTGTTTCCTCATAGGGACCAAAAAATGTCCCCACAAGGTCAAAATTTACTGGTTATGTGGAGGAGTATGATGATGGCAGAATTTTCAGATGAACAAATTATCTGTGAAAGATGTGATTTTCTCCTGTTACATGCTTGATATTTTTGGGGATGTTTTGTAATATTTAAGTGAGACACAACTGGCACTGGGGCAAACCATAAAAGGAAATTACCAGGAAACAGGCAATCACGTTCAGTACAAGCTCAATTTATTTTGAGAGGTGCAGATTAACAATCATTAAAGAGAATAATTTATAAGATAAATTATGGGAAAAGGGAGAAAATTGATTGATGCCAAAAAAAAATTAAAATAATCAAAAGCAAAACAACCCCGATAACTGAACCCCAACCCAACTATCAAACAGAAAATGTAGAAATAAAACTGCAAACTTCAGCGTATCCAACGCCCAACATAAACTATCCTAATTAATAACAAAAGTACATAAGTGGGCTCTCACTCCTAACCTAGAATTAACAAGAAAAGAACAATTTAAATACAAAAACTTACCAATCTCCTTTTCCCGAAATTACTCTAACAGGTCTCGCGTGACAAAAGCCACATTGGTCTATGTTAGCTGATCTCAGTGTTAACTTCGCACCGCATGCCAAACCAGTAAAGCACTAATCATTCAACAACAGGTGTTTCCAAGTTCTAGCGAACAATGACAGGTTTGGTGAACCTAACCACAGAGCTTGAAAGCCTCAACAAACTAACGAGTAAATAACAAGTCAACTGAACAATTCAAAAGAACTAATAAACTTAACACAATACATACAACTCAAATAAACAGAGAAAAATAAACACGGCTGGCAAAAATGGACAGTCACCCGCTGTCTGGAAAGTAGGATGGCTAACAACAGCACACAAAGCCCAGCCTCCTTTTAAATGGGTAGGTCCATCCTGATTGGTCAGCTGGTGAACTGAACAGCCAATAGACAAAACCTACGAATTTAGAGCAAAAACAGCAAGAGAGGAAAAGGGGGGAAAAAACAGGGAGCAAACAAAAATACAAAACATACGGGGAACGTAACATTTCCCAAAGTTAATATACAGCCTATTAAGATAATGCTGTATTGACAGTAAAATAACACCAAACTACATATTCCATGCTTTTGTTTTCTTCGTTGTAAGACGGCAGAGATTGACGCAACCGGAAACTGTATCCATGTAATTATGCATAATTAATTGTTATTATAATAGTAAGTACATGTAATGTGTAACAAGGACACCTCAAAATAAAGTGTTACCGAACGCTTTATGAGTTGATTGTTTCCACCTGTTACTGGTTTGTTTGTCAAGGTTTGCCTATATAAGCTCTGTTTTTCATCTTAATTATTGTGAAGTCTCGACTACGTTAACACTTTGTTTTCTAAGTTCTAGTATCCTGGTTTCCTGGACTCTGGTGGACTATTGTGAATAAAAGGCTGCATCTGGACCACTTAAGTTTCAAACCAGTGATTCATAACTGAAGACTTCGCCATCTTAGATCCAGCAGCTGCTTTAGAGATAAAGCCATCATGGACCTGGTTGACTGAGTTATGGATCCAGCAACCTGTCTCATTCGGCTCCATCAAGGAAACTGTACCCTCGAGGACCACACCAGAGACTTTTTAGATATTGCATATCTTACAGACTTCCCAGATTTCACCCTCATTGATTTCTATTGTCATGGACTCAGTGATTATTTCAAAGACACTCTAATCTGCAATGGACCTCGGAGGTCACTCAAGAAATTTTTGGACTATGCATTGCTGTTGAGTGGTTCCCCCTTTATGGTGGCCAAGGAGCTTGATCGACTATGGACTCCAGCATGCCCTACACTGAGGGTCGTGAGCCCAGTGTTGGTAGCGTCTTCCACTAAAGTCTTAGAGGAGGCTAATGTGTGTCTTTCAGGAGTGTTGACCCTGGGAGAGCTTTATAAGGCCCTGCAACGCATAGAGTCTGGGGGGCACCAGGTGTGGATAGCCTCCCTGTTGACTTCTATAAGGCTTTTTGGTTGGAGTTCAGAGGGGATATGCTAGAGGTACTCAATGGCAGCTTGTCAGAAGGCAGGTTGCCTTTGAGTTTCTGGGGAGCGGTAATCACTCTCATTCTAAAAAAAAAGGACCTTACTGATTGTAACAAAGTTCGTAGATCGGGAAGAAGGAGGTGGGAACCGGCAAACATTTAAACATAACACTTTAATAAATAAATAAACACAAAACGAAAGTAAAAGCGGCAGCCCCTCACGGACGACTGCCGCATAAAACATAACAACATAAGGCCTGGTCCTCGTCCAAAGTTTTGTCTAATAGATTGGCTGGGATGTTGGAGTAGGTCATCCATCCGGACCAGACATATTGTGTCCCGGTAGATCTATTTCTGATAAAGTTTCCTTAATTCAAGATATTTTTCATGTGTCTAAATTGCTAAATTTAGGTTGTGAGTTGTTATCTTTGACTCAAGAGAAGGCTTTTGATCGAGTTGAGCATTCTTATTTGTGGAATACTTTAGAAGCTTTTGGTTTCTGCAAGAAATTTGTAGATATGATCAGAGTACTCTATTGTGATGTTGAGAGTGCACTGAAAATAAATAGTGGCTTATGCGCTCCTTTTGGGCCTGTTTACACCTGATCACTTCATGCTTTTTTCCTGATCGGATAGCTATCATAAATAGAATGAGACAGCAGTTTACAGTCGGGGATTTGTTGTGTTGTGCCACATCCAGTGTAGACAGCATCACTGATTATAATGGGTTCTACTGTATTTTGTTGCGCCGCTTGCGTCCGGTGTAGACACGGTGTAATGTGGTAGTGCGGCCAGGACGAAACAACTAATTTAGCATCTTTTTACTAACATCCCGAGCCTCCATTACTAATAATTCCAAAGCGTAATTTTAGATCTAAAAACGGAGGATTGAGCCGTATGCCGTTATTGAAGAGAGAGCTGAAGAGAACACATGTGAATGTGAATTATTCGCGTATGGCCGACTTTCCCGAAACAATTTTATTGATAAAGTCGCTTAGTTAAATATCTTTGTGTGTGTAAGAGAGAGAGAGAGAACCCGCTGTCCAACAGTTTGATGCCAAGCATCCCCAAATATAATCCCTTCAGGCCCGGTTTTACAGGGGTGATAGAGAAAGCAAACGCTAAAGGACCCTCAGATTAAGCTGTATCCAGTGCGTATTTGTGTTTGCGCTCCGGAGAGCGTAAATAGTTTCTATTTACAGAGGGTTTTTTTTACGGCATTAAACAATAAAGCCAATCTTTCTTTAACGCCAGAGTTTTTGTCCAGTGTTCAGTTCTACAAGCTCAAAAACCCTCTTATTATAACGATGTAAATAAAACATTAATTGTGCAGTATAGAGAGATTCATTATAACACAACTTTGTGAGATCACGATCAACTAAGTGGCAGCTTTTTAGGGAGCGCTGTTTGCGGGCTTGTATGTAATGTATGTAATCCATTCAGTATTTGAATAAAACTTTTGTTTTTCTCCTGCAAAATCCTCTTGTAGGAGGTATAATTCCCTTCCTAAATATTAAAATCAGCTATATATATATATATATATATATATATATATTT